CTTGACTTACAATTGTGAAGGATTCTAAGGCCAAATTATTGAATGATGGAGAAAGCATGAAAAGAAGATAGAAGGAATACACAGAATCAATGTACCAAAAAGAAATGGACAATAATCAACCATTTCAAGAGGTAGCATGTGATCTAGAGCCAATGATACTGATGGAGACGTCCAAGGTGCATTGAAGGCATTGGCAAAGAACAAGGCTCCAGGAATTGATGGAATAGACATGAAATTATTTCAACAAATTGATGAACCACTGGAGGCACTCACTCACATATACCAAGAAATTTGGAAGACAGCTGCCTAGTCAACTGACTGGAAGAGATCCATATCTGTGACTATGCTAAAGAGAGGTGACCCAACAGAATGCAGAAATCATTGAACAATATCATTAATATCCTATGCAAGTAAAATTTTGCTAAAGATAATACAAAAACGATGGCAACTATACATTGACAGAGAACTGCCAAAGGTTCAAGCTGGATTTAGACAGAACATGGAACAAGGGATATCACTGCTTATATCAGATGGATCTTGGCTGAAAGCAAAGAATACCTGAAAAATATTTACTTTTTGGTTTCCATTGTGATGATCTTGACAAGCTATGGACAAGATTATAGAGAATAAGTATTTCAAAACACTTAATTGTGCTCATGAGGAACCTGTACATAGACCAAGAGGCAGTTATTCAAACAGAATAAGGGGACACTGAATGATTTAAAATTAGGAAAGCTGTGTGCCAGGGTTGTGTTCTTTCAGCATACTTTTTCAATCTGTATGCTGAGCAAATAATCTGAGAAGCTGGATTATATGAAGATCGAGGCATCAGGATTGGAAGAAGACCCACTAACAACCTGCCTTATGCAGATTATACAACCTGATTTACTGAAAGTGAAGAGGACTTAAAATACTTACTGATGAAGGTCAAAGACCACAGTCTTCAGTATGAGTTACATCTCAATGTAAAGAAAACAAAAATCCTCACCACTGTACCAACAAACAACATCCATATAAATGGAGAAAATATTGCTTAGATCCACCATCAACACTTACAGAAGCAGTAGCCAAGAAATCAAATGACATATTGCATTAGGCAAATCTGCTGCTCTTTAAAGTGTTGAAGAGCAAAGATGTTAGTTTGAGGACTAAGGTGCATCTGATCCAAGCCATGGTATCTTCAATAACGTCAATATGCATGTGAAAGTTGGACAGTAAATAAGGAAGATTGTAGAAGAAATTGATGTATTTGAGTTATGATGTTGGAGGAGAATGTTGAAAGTACCATGGACTGCCAAAAGAACAAACATCTGTGTCGAAAGAAATATAGTCAGAGTGCTCCTTGGAAGCCAGGATGGCCAGACTTTGTCTTTCATTCTTTGGACATATTGTCAGGAGGGACCAGTCACTGGTGAAGTATGATATCATGTTTGGTAAAGTGGAGGGCAGGAGAAAAAGAGGAAGATCCTCAGTGAGATGGATTGACACAGTGACAGCAACAATGGGCAAGCAGTGATTGTGGGGTTGGCGCAGACCATGCAATATTTTGTTTATAAGTTTTTATTGTGAATAGTGTGTTAGTTTACATGGGAGAACATTATTTTTACATTCATCATATCATATTTCATTTCACTGCAATGATTACAATCCCCTGCATGCATCATCAAACAATCAAAGGGTACACCCTGCACACCTGCCCCCTGGCCACCAGCACACAGCCCCTTTCTCTCCCTGAGTCCAGAGTCCCAGGCTGCTCCTTCTCTCCACGTCATCATCTCTGCCTCCATCCCTGGCATCAATGCTTCCCTGGATAGGGTCCCACATTTCGCTTCTCTCACTCGATGGTTCCAGGGATCTCTGTTCCTGGACTGCAAATTCAACCACTCCCCTTCTCTTGTTACAAAACATCTACCTTTACCTTTCTAACACTCACTGTCAGACCTGATAGCAATCATTCCCTACTGAACCACAGGAGTCTGATCCCCATCACCTTTTATCAGCCCCATCCAGACAGGTTGGAAACAACTCAGTGGAGAGTCTACTTTTCCCTGTACCCTCTGGAACTAGGTTCCCTATTGAAAACTTGTAAGCCAGTCACTTCTTGCCTTTGTAGTCCCTCAC